ATTAAAAATATTTTGTTATAAAACACATGATAATATATTAATATATATTTAGTTTAACTATGTTTTGAATGATTATTGATAAAACGGCAATAGGTACCTTTTAATACGATAGTCTTAATAACATAGGCTCAATACTATGCATTAATTAATATTTAGTGTTGGTGACCTAAATTTGCGCAAAACACTAATCTATAGATCTTAACATATTATTGTCTTTCTTCCTGTCTTATTTTTTCTCTTATATTCCTTAATATAACGGTATGTTATTTTATAGTTTTTATTCGAAAATATTTGTTATATAAATCCGTAACTTTGATATTTCAACAGAACTACAAACAAGGCCATGGTTCATGAGGAAAAAACTTAATAGAACGATATGACTTGTACGGAAGTCAGGATATTTCTATTAACACGAATAACACGACACTAGATTCCAACGCGTTGTACTTATGATTATGACAAACGGTGGGAAAATAACTGAAACTGGTTACAGACGTAGCAACTATAATGCCGGACAGTTGACATTATAATATTATATGCGTAGGTGCCATTATTTTCACCGGTTCACACAGTATCGTATCATTCGTACCGCACATAAAAATACAATAATCAATTGATTACGATGGCCCAAAGAAGCGTTTTTCCATCGTTTACTTCGGTTAAGGATTTCATTATTTTAGTACTCATCTATTTAGTTTTATAACTATTAAAAATAAATATAAACATTCATTAAAGGTAGGTGCAATCATAGGCGTCTGCAGAAATTTGTCGATATGGTGGGTCAGTGATACTTATTGATTTCAATATAATATTAGTGCTACATTGCTGTTAACTATTTAAGTATAATAGTATGCTTATATATTATATAGTATATTACACATTTTGTTTTCTAGAACTACGTTGGAGATGAATCATTTAATTGTTCGATACAGAATACATTTTAAATGTATGTTTCTAAATGAAGTCATATATCATTCATTATGGGAATTCCAATAGTCGTTACTCAGATAATTATTTTGATAAATTATTTACTCAATTTTCGATACTAGTTTATTTTATACAATTGCAAGTAGGTACCAATTACCCAGTAGTTATTGTAAAATAATCTATAGAGATGTAATAGTCTGCAGACAAATTCGGAAAAGTTTGAAATAAAAAAAATCCACACTCGCGAACACCATTGGCTATATAATTGTTTAAATAATTATAAAAATCATCCATAAATATAATATTATACTTAATTAAAATTATGAAAATTAATAATGTTTTCAGGGTCATTGTCAGTGTCAATTTTTAAAGCGAAAAACACTCATTTTAATCAGTGAAACTCTTCTAAAAGTGTAGTTGGCTTGTAAATAGATAAAAATCTGATAAAAATCTCGAAAACATCTAGTTATTGTAGTGAATAATCGGAATACCAGAAAACAGAATATGATAAATAAAAAAAAAAAATGTGAATTTCTATACATATATATATCAGTAATTTTTAAAATATTGCTTCGATATTTTTATTATGCATACAATTTTAATGCATATAGTAAATAATTTAAAAATTGCTCTCGGAAATATTTATTTGCTAATCTCACAGCATTGAAATTAAGAACACTTCCAAAGATAAAACATTTTTGTTTTTAAATTAATTTCCTACATATAATATTAGACAGTATTTGTATAATAATTGCGCTATTCCCGAGAATCACTTTATTAAATTGAATGTTTATATTTAAACCTATTTACCTATATGGTTATATTTATTTTAGAAATTATAACATTTTATAGTAAAATTATACAAACAAAAATTAATTTCTTATAAAATTGATTTGAAAGACGCAAAATATTAATACCTAATAAAAGCATATAGAAAAGCCACTGGAATTCAATAATTATAACGATATCGAACTGAGGGGCATTTAAACATAATTGTCAAATCAAATTATTTGAATTACTCGACTATCAGGAAACAAACAATCATAAATAAATATAGAATAGGACAATAGCATATTATTTTGATAAACAATCAAAAAAAAATTTATAATTATTTACTATCTAAAATATTCAATAGTACATAGTCTTCTCAAAAACCCAACAAAATAAAGAAGCTTTTAACAAACATAACACTGGGGGCATATTAAACTTGTATTAACTATATCTTATAATATAAGCCTTGATTAAACAATCTTAATTTAAACCAATAACAAAATATTAATTTAATATTATCGTTTAATAATCTTTGTCATCGAAACCTATACATATGTTGAAAAATATATTTCAGTATAATAATATCAAAATATGCTGTTGTATTTTTTATCGAATGACCAAAATCTTGCAGGAACTTATCATTATCATACATATTAAATATTTTATTCAGTATTGAGTGATCTGTTAAATATAATACATTCATTGTTTTTAAAATTTATTTTTTTAAAGCTATTTTATTGTATACTTGTTATTTAAGTCATTATAAAAAAAATTTCAATTTTTATCGAATTTTGTACAATATAATTTAGTTAATTATATAATGAGCTTGAATTATATTCTCGTTGATCAATATGTTAATTCTATTTACAGAAATCGATGGAGAGAAAATATTTAGAACAAAATGAAATAATATACTGGTGTAAAATTGTAATGCATGCTGTAGCTATAATAGGCATCAGGAATCGGCAAAAGCGTTATAGACAACAGATCTGTTTGATATTTTTATGGGTAGTGGAAATAGTTCTTATAATAAATTTCTCTCAAAATAGGATAAAAAAATAAAAATGTAAAAATAAAAATAAAAATAAAAGAGGAAACATTATTTATTCTGAGCTATCCTATAACACAGTTTTCATACACGGTTCGGCGATCTTCATACTTGCATGACCTATGAGTATTATAGTATAATATAATGTAGGATAGGTACTCGGTTAAATATAATTTCTACAACAAATGAAAAAAATGTGGTACACATCGTTAATGTATATAAATACACATATCTATTTATAATATATTTATATATACATATACTTTTAATAATGCATGATGAGATATAAAAAGTACTTATACGCGCACCCGTATATTATATTTTATATATACGCTTATAATATAGAACGTTAAAAATTACTACTTGTTTTTTTGCAGTACGAATATTTCTGCCTTACCCAATGTGGTTTGTTATAAGTTATTATAATTTCTGTTTAGCGAACTTTTTATAATTAAAAATGAAAAAGTTGTTTTGTGCATTGATTTGCTATTCATTTGTCATGGTGGTTACCGTTTTATAAAACAACAGTCCTATTCAAAGAAATAACTTAAGTTCACATGAAGGACTGCACATAAATTGCTTTTGTGCGCGCGTTTATGAAATATAGAAACTTGACTAAGTTATCTATTCAACAATGTATTTTTATATTTTTAAATCATTGAAATTTAAAACGTTATAAATTGATGTACAAATTGTATAAGAAATAATTTTTTTTAAACATAAGATTTTATAGGATTAAGCACATACATGTTTAATAATTATACAAGTTATCTAGACAAAAAATATTGAAATACTGTTTGATATCAAAATAATAGAACCACAATGGTTATAATATAATAATATTGTTATTATTTTTTTTATAGTCTAAAGACTATATTATTATAAAATTTTATCGTTATGTTTTAACGTAAGAAATAATTGGTACCCTGACAAAATATCGCAACAAAAATGTCGCGAAAGACGTGAAACCAATAAATTGTAAAGAAATAATACCACCGTAAATTATTATTGTATCTGTTAAATCTAATATCAATAATTCCAATATTAAGACAGTCAGTTGGGCTGATCGAGTAAAGAAAGTAATAGTAGATTATCATAATCGAGAGCTTGAAGATCATCTTCAAGGTATTTCATTTAATATATATAATACATATTTTATTATTTTTTTTTTTAATACTTTTATCAATTTTATTAAATTATACATATTTTTATCAATTTTACTATAATATATTTATATAACAATATTATATATACATTGAAATTTGAATTATATAAAATTATTTATATCTGTTATAAAATATCAATCAATAATTAATATTATTTATTTCTAACTAAATTATTGCTATATTTTATATCATACGATATTTCAGTTGCGATATTTTAGTGGTGATATTTTGTCAGTGATTTAAAATACCTAATTGAAGGTTTCTGTGTTCTAATTTAAAACATCAAGAACAATATAAAATTAAAAACAGACAAAACAAATATCTATCTTTGAAATAGCTTATTGTTTTAATGGTTAACTACAGTATAAATTATTTACTATAAGAGAACTTGATCATTTTTGAAAAAAATCCATGCATTTTCCTGTTTTAAGCAAAAGTCGATTAAAAATTCAATAGAATAATATGAAAAAATATCATTCTCATAAATCATTGAAATTTGGTATACCAAGAAAACTGCCAAAACTGTTCATATTATTATTCAAAATCTAATTCTATATGGCTAAATTTGTAATCAAATTTTACAATTTTAAATTATTACTGGGACTCTGGGAACCTTGAGTCTCTAATATCGATAATTATACAAATTGTAATTTATAAATGCTTACATAATATGCCACAATTTTGACTGTATAATTTACGTGTTACACATTTGATAGTATCACTTTTTTTGTCGTAAAAACAGTTAACGTATTAAGAATTAGGCATGGGTAGCAAAGCACCTATGTTGATTATACCCACTAAATTATGTAAATATTGTTTCGAACCAAACGATTAAAACCTAATAATCGCGCAACTAACGGAGAAATAATTAAACTATCGTAAAAAAACTTTGTACGTATAACTAACTAATAACTATGTAAGGAATGCAAATAATATCGGAATAAATATTTTTTTTAATATTTGTGTTTTTTATTTTTATCATAGAGGGAGTAGTTGTGTAATTTATTTCTATTTTTACAATTTTTTTAATCGACGGGGTACACCTATTTATTTATTATTATTACACCACACAGATCATTGACGCCTACCTGTTGATCGGCAGCCGACTGAAACATCGCTAATAGCCAGTGTTGGCAAACGATGGCCACGTGTTGCAAGTCGACAGCCGCCACGGCACAGGCGACCATCACCATGGACAGGACTGTCATCGCGGTACGCGATTGTCCACCGTGCGACGATGCAACCGCCGCCGACGCTACAATCCTCCGACGACAACCCGAAGTTGACTTCCTCCTATCCGCTGTGTCCGATATCCCGTCCGCTACCATTTCGACGTCACGTTTACCGGACTTTGAAGCGACTGCCGCCGTTGACGTTTCTTTCATCGCTCCCTTCCAAGTCGGCGGCTAAACGATGATTGCCGTAAGTCGTGGGCGCGATAGACGCATCCCTTACCGCTCGTTTACCACCCTTCCGACAGATTTTCCCGATAGTGGACGACAGTGGCCGACGGACGAGTGCGACTAAAATTCCGACTAACAACGCATACACACAACACCACATGTAGAGTCAGAAAGATACTAAAAAAAAAAAAATAAGTTATAAGAAAAATACATTCAGTTATCAAACGATATTTAACGTAATGTAATAAGAATAATATAAGAGAAAATAGTTAATTGTTCAATATATAAACATTAGGCACAGTGTACGAAAAAACTAAATTTAAAGTTGTTAATAGGTTATATACAATTCTTACATACATCGGCTATAAACAATTATTATTAAAATTATTTTAATATTGCACTAAAAGATAAAATATCTTTAAAATAGGCATCATAAATAAAACTAAAATTCGAATAAAAATTTTCTATTTATTAAATTTATATTTTAATAAAATAAAAAAAAATAATAAAATACAATATACAATGTATGTATTAATTCAAAAAAAAAAAAAAAAAAATGCATGTATTTTAACATTAATGATTTATAGTTAGAAAATTATATTTTTTATTCTATATAATTAAAAATATACTAACATGTATACGTAGTTACAATGTATATTAATAATTACTATCAAGCTAATTATTAGCTTGATATTAAGTTCTAATAGATTGTTTCTCAAAAAAGTATTCCATTAAAAATACTAAAAATATTTATAAAAATTTTAAAACCATTATTGTTTTTTAAAATATTTCTTAATTTTAAGGTTATTACTATTTACTTATAACTAGTTCAAACTGTCCAAATTTAAACTGTTTGTGTAGTTAAAGGATCATAAACAACACCCCCAAGTACAAGTAGAAACAAAGTCATACATATATAAACTGGATTTTGTCTAAATTAAAAATGTATGTAAATTCTAATTTTTCAATTTTCAATTTTAAAATATTTGTTTCAGATAGAGTTTGAAATTAAATTTTTTACCAACAACAAGAAAAAAGGCACAATTTACATTATATCAATTTAACCCAGTTAATAATCCAAGTTCAGTATAAACTATAAATAAAAAAAAAAGGTCGTTTGGGTGCATGGGTGCAGTTCATGTATGCATGTATGTGCTACACGTTGCAATCGACTGGCATCGTGCTGCACGCGCTATTAATTTTATTTATTGTATTTACGCTGTAGCACAAATCACAATGCATAACGCAAGAAAAGTTGCCACCAAACGTTAACGCCTAATACGAAAAAAAAATCATATTTTTCGTTAATTCTGAAACAAAAATTTTCCCGATATTTTAAAAATTTAAAAAACTATACTAAAATGTTTTTTATTCTTAATCCTTAGTCCTTACTACATATGTTGTTACTATTTCAATTAAAATACAATTGAATACATAACAAAAACGTAAAAAGTATAGACGCTTAAAATAGTTAGTTAATCAGTTAGTAAAAGTTTCGTATATGCACTAGCTATCGACTATATCGTACCATACTTGACAAACGACTGATCATGGTCTAGGCGTAAGACAAATAAGAAATATTAAAATTTTTTTGGAAATTTCAGATAGATTTTAATTTTATTTACTATAAGTATTGTCATAGTCCAGTTCACAGTAAGGGAAGTACGCGAAATTTTTAGATTTACATTATTAAAGTTTGTATGCGCAACATCATCGACATATTAACATGTTTTCGGCTTCATTTTATAGCTTTTTATTTTTATTAATATTAATAACATACGAGTTAATATGATTTCTAATATGAAAAATAAAACACATACAAAATGTATATATGTGTACTTTATTTAAAAAAAATCTATATATTTATTTATTTTAGTGTATATTCTATATTGTATAAACGTATCATGATTTTGAGCCCAAATAACATGTTTTAACCACTCATTAATAGCAACAAAAAAAAAAAAATCAACAACAAAGATAATGACATTTTTAGAAAAAGATAGCATATACTTTAGATCCCATCATATACTTTGATAATGACATTTCTTTTTAATAATTCTCTTTAAAACCTAAACAGCAGGATATAGAAGACACGCAGTTTTTATACTAATATTATAATGATATATCTATGGGTTATACGACATACGTTATGGGATATTGACTACTAAAATAATTATATACCTACCTTATATATAATAGTTGTTAATAATAGATATTTTTACTTACACGTAGTATAGGTACTTATTAGTTATTAGTTATTAGTCTATATGAGAACTATAAAATATAATTCATTTACATTTTTGACGACCAACAATGTAATATTTTGTGACATCTACATGACTATATAGTGTGAGAAATTTTGAGAGTGATAATATAATATAGTAAATATTTGAGCTAAACTATAATGTTCGTCTACCGTGTATTCTTTTAAAATTGGCTGTTGAATGATAAACTGACTCCATATAATCATATATTATTTTATAATAATGTATTGTCATTAATGTGGCTAGTTCTCTGTAGAATCATTCTACTTAGAACTAGCCATATTATTATATTTATATTCAAAACTACTTTCCTTATTTTATTTTATACTTTTACATTTAAACTTTCTCTCGTTATAATTATACCAACCCGAAATGTTTTATTTTTTATAATCATAACTCACATTTCACATGTCCCAAAACGGTTCAATCTAATATTGTAGAGTACAATACACATATATAATTAATACATCTGCTAAGTTATCTACTTGTATCAAACGTATGTAAACAAGATTAAAAAAAAAAGTGTTTGTATAATTATGGTTTACAAGAAACGGAATACGTTTTAAATGTTGGTATTTTATAATTATTAGTCTAATTATTATTTAAATTTAAATAATTACTGGTTAAGCCGTTATAAATCGGTGGATTTTCAAAATCAACGTTAAGAATTTGAAAATGTTATAGGTAGGTACTTTTTGATATGAAATATGTTATAAAATTGTTATAAAAAATTAAATTACAGAATAATTTACATATAAAATTATTAATTTTAATCTAGTTCGCGTATAATCTTTAATAGTTAAATGTTTATCATATTAAATGAATTAAATGATAAATTTCACAATAATATTCTGAAACAATGAATTTATTAATATGTGTAAAGTTTTATACAATTTGGATATCTTTATATAATGTAATGATTTACAACTACACTAAATAATTTTAAAAATAATATAAAAGTTAGGTAATCAAATTTAACAATATATTTATTACATTATTAACAAAATTAACGATAAAATATGTATAAATGAACATTTAAATAAGAAGACGTATCTATTATTATATAATATATAATATATAGTGCATATAATATACATATATATTACATATTTTGTGTGTTAAGTGACATTAAAATTTATAACCTAGTCATTTTGACAATAACATAGTCATGCTTGTTGAATAAAAATCAAAATATTAAAGACTTTTGTGATGTTTAACTTAGCTATATAAAACTGTTTAAGCTTGAAAATTTTATATATAAAATTACAAAAGAGTTATTCTTATAAAAATTGCAATAACAAAAGAACGATTTTTGAAATTCAATTTTGTATTTTGTCAATTTCATCAAATTAATTTGAAAGTAAAAATGAATAAATGTTTCAATTTTTATAACTACGCTTAAAAATTTAACACAAGGTTTCTCATTAGTTACGAGTTTACGAATTTATGAGTAAGGCTCGGAATTTCTAGGAGTTACATATATTTTTATATTCTCTCAATTTATAATAGACTAAACTAGAAATCCAAACTTTACGATGGTAAGTTTAAGAATCAAAAAATTAAAATGTATATTTTGAATATATCGTTAATTTTATGGAAGAAGTGCATATTGCATTGATTTTTTTACACACTTAAGCATATTTAATATTATCTAAAAAAATTGATTTTATTTTTAAACTTTGTATTTTAAATATTATTGAATATGAAACTCAATATTATTTTACGTAGGTATTTTTTTTTCATTGTCACAGTCGAATATTAATTTAACGATAACGGTGCTATATGTACATTTAATCTACCTCGCATGAATATGCCGAAATATTATCTTATATTCGATAAACTATCAACTTAACTTATCGTAAATATATTTACTGTTTATTCGTTAGTACATTTATTGTGCACAATAGACATTTTACAGTATTTTTTAAAATATTTCTCCAATTTAAAATATGTTAGAACACCAACCAGTTTTTCGTCATATTTATTAAATACAAACTATAAATTTATTTTTCCACTTTTTATGTGTATTCTTAACAAAATTAAATTGTTTTTATTCAGTATTCTGAAAATTTTTTTTTGCATATAAACAAGTTATCTGTGCATATTTTGCCTATTTTAGTTCCTATAACTTCTGATCCATATAATTATAAATATATACTAAACTCGTATTAATTATCTCATATTAAAATTAAAATTAAAAAAAAAAAATTTTTTAGTTATTTTGTTGTGATTCAAAAATATTACTCATGTCGATTTGAAAACGCGTAACGTAAAATATTTTATTTTATACAAACAATGGCATTTTAAAAATATTTAAATTTTTTTTAAGCTATTACCTATTTATATTTTATACAAGGAATTTATCAATATCGTTCTATAATAATTCATTGTTCACTCAAAAATTAATAATAATTTACAACATATAATATTATATGAATATAAATAAGTACTATTATGATATAATAACAGTAAGAATATCTCATGAAATAAATTTATAGTTATCACAATTATATAGGCTGATTAAAGATTGTTTTTACTGTGAATCTGGTATATTTGGTATATTCAATGGTTTAAAATTGAATTAAACATGATTTAACACATCCATTACACGACTGTGATTTTTTCAATTAAGTGACACTACATTAGACATATACTATTGTACAAATTACAACATAAGTAGTTACCTTTTTCCCCTTTTTAAAATTTTTATGTAGGCAG